GTTGCACTAAAGCACAACATGAAAGCACAGCCAGTCCTCGTTTGTTGGTTTTACGTCGATCTTAAAGTTTCCACTGTTTCTGACAAACATCACAGTTTCCACAGACCCGTAAACTGTGGAAGCACACGATCAAAGCTGATGGAGGGGTTTTCTGTTGTTGTGGTGGTGGCGGTGTGGTAATCAAAAATCAAAGTGATCCACTGAATCTTGATTTTCTCGGATGCTGGGAGTGCACCACAGCGCCGGTGTTCACTCTTTGTAGCCGACAGCAGAGTATTCGTGTGCTTTGCTGGAGACATTTCAGAGTTCAAGGAAGTAAATAAACCTGGCGGGCTGTTTATTCTGAATGGCTCACCTGGAATCATGAGGCAGTTATGCAGATTTTTAGCCTATTGGTTCCTCATTCCCTTCTCACTACCTGAACTAAACTTCATATGAAGATGGAAGGCCATCTAGACGAATGGCGGTAGTTTGCATCTTTATACTCTCACCTCCAAGTTTTGAAGACACACAGTATGCATTTTTATTAACTGCTTTGATGCTGATGAAGTTGGCAATGCAGCAATATAAGAAGCCAGAAACCACCAAGAAGAAGAAACAAAACGTTGGGAAAATTCACATGAAACACATGGAAACACAACAAGTGACCACAGACTGTATAAAAGATGGACGTAGCTACCGTGACGTCACCTGTTGGTTTCTGTACTGAGAAGATGAAGCCAGGGTTTTGCTACTTCCTGGTTGACTTCCTGGTTGGATTTTTGGAGCCAGTGACGCAAAAATCGTTGGAGGGGGGCGGAGCCATAGGAGCAGCGATTGGTCAGACGGATTGAGAGGCGGGCCCTCTCTGCCCCGCCCACATTTACCGCCTTCTGCTCGCTTCGTCTGTATGGTCGCTGCCGACTGTCAATCAAGCCAGCCACGCCCCTTGCCCCACAAAATGTTGACGATTTTTTAAAAATTCGGTATTGATTTATTTTCAGATTGGTCACCTGATCTCTGGATTTGACCATGAAAACTAATAAGAAATAAATCCTGAGCTGTAGGAATGCTGTATTTCGCGATCTGTGATCACTTCTTTTCCAATTCCAGTCTATGGGAGCCAGGGCTTTTTGGAGCCAGCAGCTAGTGGACGTAGTGATCCTGCAGGTTTCTGACACTTCCGGGTTGGCTTAATTTTTCAGGGCTGGTTTCTACGTCCATCTTTTATGCAAGTGACTGGTGCTCCTAACTCACAACCTCCTATTAGACTTATGATTGCCCCGTCCTTCCTGCGACACTCCTGCATTTTTTTTTGTCAGTAGATATGCGGCCCTCTGCATGAAAGTCATGGAAGGCATGAAATGGGAGTAGATGAGGCACTGCACCCCGACAGATGGAGCTGGGGAGAGGATTGTTGTTAGGACGCTTCACGGTGCAAATAGATGTAATGTTGGTGCTAAAATACACCTTGCGGTTTGACAGAACTGTGTCAGATTATATAAACCGTCGCTGTTTTTAGCGTTCTGGAGGTTTTTCTTTTTTTTTCAGTTTGCACTTTACCTGACTCTTTATAGCAACCATTGACATAATCCTGCAGATTCTTCCACCCCTGGGTTTTAATCCCACCCGCTTGACTACGCAGGACATCACAGCATGAAAATAGATGGCTCAGCACCAAGAAGATTTCAGATGAACCTCAAACAAGAAAGAGTTCGGGGGGAGAAAAGGGAGGGACCGAGCTTGAATAAACCCATCTGCTCACAGACGGATGCAGAATTCATTTGAGGCTGTTACGACGGTCTTGTTGCTATTTTTGTCATCACACTCCATCTTTCGCAGAAGGTGGGATGGGGGCTAAAGGAGGGATGAGAGGGGGGGAGAAGTGGATGCAGAGATGTATGACGAGGTGTTTGCTTTCCAGCTGGAAAAAAAAAGGACTCCCAGAATGCAACGGGCCTTGTTACCGACGCTGGTGGCTCGTTCATTAGATTTGATGCGTCTTGTTACCGCACTAATCACAGCAACTGCTGACAGGAAGTTCGAAATTGTTTGTGGGGAATTCGAGAACATCATCCGCACATGATAATGATCTAAACAGAAAGAGAAGAAAAAAGAATGCTTTGTCTGATGAGCTGTAGTCGTTCTACGATTTGGTGCAGAGCTAAAATAAATGGAAGCCAAAATAATATTAATAATACAGGTGGAGGCAGTGGTAATGCACTTTTTGTGTTCATGCACAGCTTTTCTTTTTTAAACGGGAAATAAAGTGTCTTAGATTCCATGTTCATGCCCATGGGGGACAGTAGATATGGCACATGCTAAGTTGCTAAATATGCTAACACGCTAAATATGCTAACTAGCTAAATATCACAGACTCCACCTTTACAGAAACGGGGATAACGTTGGAATTACCTGTTTAATCATTAGAATATGTACTTAAAAGCTGCTCATTTGTCTTTAAATGTCATGAAATATTTACCAGTTACTAGCATCACCATGTTAGCACATGCTATAAAAACATCGACAATAAAATGCAAATTAGTTCCATTAAAGTAGTTTTTGGATACTTGAGGATAAAACAAATTCAAAGCGCTTTATGGCTAACGTGTTAGCTAACAGCTTCCCATTTACATGTCCAGGAGACACAGCGTTAGCATCTGTTGTTGTTTTTTAGCTTTGCTTTGGCCTCCACCAACCTCTGAGAAAAAAAAATAAAAGGTCGCATAGTTCTTCGTGGTTGTTTCATTATCAGCTAGCTTAGCTCTGAACTTTGGCTTTTAGTTCTGACCAGGTAAGTTAGCAATTAATTTATCAGCAAAAATTCTTGTGCTGGAAAGCTGATTGTTAGCATTTATAACAAACTTATTTGCTAAATGAGCTAAAAAAAAAAAAACACTGAAACAGAAACTATAAGTGTTGGTTGAAATGGTTGATGTTTCTCCATATGCTGCTAAAACCAACCCACACTCCTGCAAAACTGACTTAATTAGGAATTTGAAGAAGGTGTGAAGTAAACACCAGGTTTCTGAATTACAAATTAAGAAGCAAAAACATACTGATCTAAGAATGGGTTAAACATATTAAACACAGCAAAGGAGCCCTGACCCTACCCCTAAATTAACCTGTCAGATAATTATTCTCTTCACAGCCATCTGAGATCAGAGCAATCCTCATGTCTCATCGACATAATAGAGCGACTGACTTCAGTCCAGCTGCTGGAAACAGCTGCTCAGCCGCAACAGATGTCCACAAACACTGCTGCCGAAACTTTATCGGTCCAGGAAATCTGTCACCTCTGAAATGTGTTTGTACTCAGAGCAGTATTTCTACGGTGTGGAAGCTACAAACATTTAATTAGAGTCCCGCTGCTCCTGGATGTGAGACACTCAGCCTGTGTTGAAAATCCTAACTTAGCTTTAGCCTCAGATAGCTAGCTAGAGACAGCAGCCAGACACCTTGTACATGACTGTTAGCAGTTAGACATCAGGGAGGTGCACTTGAAGAGTTCATCTACGAAAACAGATTTTTTTTTTGTTGTTTGCTTGAGATAATATCAATCAAACTGAAGTTGAGTGGAAATGGCATGACAACAAGAGAGGTAACTGGAGTTTGACTGATATGGTCTCAGGTAGACGATGGAAAAGTGGGTTTTCTGAAGGTTTGTGAAGATGGAGTTCTCTGTTTTTGTGTCAGCAAACACGTCTGGAACTCCATCACATGAAACAGGAAGAGGCTCCACTTGACGGCACAACCAAGTGCTAGAGCAGGGGTCTCCAATCCTGGATTCAAATGATCAGCTCATCATCAAGCTCTGCAGAAGCCTGATAACGATCCTGATCACTTAAATCAGGTGTATTAGTAGAGGGAAACATCTAAAACATGCAGGACTGTGGCCCTCGAGGACCAGGATTGGACACCCCTGTGCTACAGGATATTTACAGTCCACTTTATGACCATTAAACCGCATGTCCTTCATGTCTGTCGTCCGTTTAACTGGTTCAATTATTAGGAGAAGTTAATCTATGAAGAATTAATGATCAGTCCCCAATGCAAGCAGTGTACGGACTGTTTTGTGTCGACATGTGTTCTGCATTTTCTTTATTTTGCTCCACAGCGCACTGGTTTGAAGTAACTACTTATATTTACTCGAATACTGCCTCGAGTACGGTTTTGAAACACCGGCACTTTACTGAAGCGTTTCGGTTTTAGGCTACTTCTGTTCCACTCCAGTTCACTGTTAGAGTCCAAAAATATAACTGTAAGTACGTTTAGATCAAAGGCTCTTTTGATGAGACAAATACCTCTCGCTGGAACCCCTGAATACAATTATTGTTAATGTTATCAGCGACATCTGGCATTCTCAGACTGTGACGAGTCAGAAGAACTTCTATTTTGAATCCAGGCCTTGTGCTTGTAGTAAAGCGGGACTTAGACAGTATCCCTACTGCTGTATGGCCTTTAAAACCATAGACTGTATAAAAGATGGACGTAGCAACCGGCCCTGAAAAATGAAGCCAACCCGGAAGTGTCAAAAACCTGCAGGATCACTACGTCCACTAGCTGCTGGCTTTTTCTTATTAGTTTTCATAGTCAAGTCCAGAGATCAGGTGGCCAATCTGAAAATAAATCAATACTGAATTTTTAAAAAATCGTCAACATTTTGCGGGGCAAGGGGCGTGGCTGGCTTGATTGACAGTCGGCAGCGACCATACAGACGAAGCGAGCAGAAGGCGGTAAATGTGGGCGGGCAGAGAGGGCCCGCCTCTCAATCCGTCTGACCAATCGCTGCTCCTATGGCTCCGCCCCCCTCCGACAGTTTTTGCGTCATTGGCTCCAAAAATCCAAGATGTCAACCAGGAAGTAGCAAAACCCTGGCTTCATTTTCTCAGTGCAGAAACCAACGGGTGACGTCACGGCAGCTACGTCCATCTTTTATACAGTCTATGTTTAAAACACACTGAAAGCACTCTGTTTAAAGCTACATTTGCCTAATTCCCTCGACCTCTCTGTCTCCGTAGTCCCTCATCTTCCTGGGCTGCGTGGCGGCGGCGGGACTCGGCCTCAACCTCCTGTGTCTCGCCATCTACCTGAGCTGCCTGTGCTGCTGCCGCAAAGACGACGAGGAGGAGAGCAAGAAGCCCAACTCCTGCTGCGTCACCTGGTCGGCCGTCGCCGCCGGCCTCATCACATGGTGAGAGAATCAGACGCCGCTAACCGCTGATCACGGTGCGCCGGCACTCCGGCTGCACGTTTCCATCATCGTCTTCATCGGTCGCTCTGTATTCACAACGTGGTGTTTTGTAAGCGGCGTGATATCCTCGCTGTGTTCCCACATGGGATTTGGAACTTATTCATTCGCGGCACATTGACGCTCTGTATATTTTTCCATACTGTATGTGTGTTTGTCTGCCAGTCTTTTGTTTGCACATTTGTATTCTCGGCGTCTTTCTGGTCTGCATAGCTGTCAGTCCACCTCTTTTTTTTTTTTTTTTTTAAATATCCCAAGCTTCTATTTGAACTTCTGCAAATACTTGTGATTTTAGGTTCACAACAGCACAGCGAGCGTTATTTATTTCCTTCCTTTGATGAGACCAGGCTTTGATCCGTCTCTGCAAAGTCTCTTTTACCTCTGAGACGTTGATGTGGATGGAAAATCTCTCTGATAACTCGTAGCCTTTGTACATTTTTTTTTTCCTCTCACATCATTTCTGGTTGCAAAAAATTGTCACGTAGGGTTGCACAAAAAAAAAAAAAAAGAGCCAAAGTTTGGACATGTGTTTTTCAAAGTGGCGCCATAGGACCAGAGTTTATCCCGCCGCTAACAAAATATCCCAGCGGCGCTCCGACTCTCCAGCGCCCGTACCATTGTTATGCTGGAATGCATCCCGATGTGGGCGTATTGTCAATATTCTGCTGACAATGTGGAAGTGAGAATGTGCATTACTGGCCAGGGCTGCCAGCTGGAAGACCGATGCATCGTATTCGGCACATTAAAATGCAAGAATAAATAAATAAAAACATGTAGGCGGAGAGGTTAATACACAATATATATACATGAAAGACATGCAGACGGTGCTATAGGTGGAAACAGAAGGAGGGAAAATAAGACACATAACAGGTGAAGTATGCATTTTAAAATCATATATTTTGTTTAAAAATTTATATAATTATGGGGATTATTTACGTGAAGGTCACCAAAGTCTTCGTGGGAATAAAACAGAAGTTTAGTTTGACTGTTTCCGAGCTTTTAAATATAATTTCCCATATATATCATTTCTT